TTTTGTTTTCTTTGTATGTATAATAATTTTCCCGTCAGACCACGTTTTACAAAAAAAAGAGAGGGTCCAGAAGAGTGATCTCGACTAAGCTAGGGAAGGGAGGGTGGGGCGGTGAGAAGCAAAGGTGGGGTAACGGGTGGGGAGGGTGATTGGTGATGTGGGAATTTTTCTTTGTTCAATTTCTGTTCTCTTGATAGAAGCTTTATTATATCATGAAGAATGCCATTCTAAGAGAGGTCCAAGTTTTACGACTAGGCCTGAACTGGATTGTACATAGTATATTTGCATTATTCAATACGTGTTTTCTCTAACTGACGCTAGTGAAATGCGTTCTTCTACGCATTCACTCCTCAGTTACCGCAACTTTGTTTTCTGTTAGCGCGAAACACAAGTTCAAGTAACTTAAAAACGATACTAATAATTTCAAACAGGACCATTTGTTAAACTTTAGACCAGCCAGTATACTTGTGCAATAAATTGTCGTCTCTGCCTGTCACGAGTGCTTTAGTGTGTCTATAGTATTCTAAATGTAAACATGGAGATTTGTCCTCTTAAAGCCGTCTAAAGAAAAATTCCGCAAAACGCGATGCTGTGTTCAGTCTTGCTGTTTACTGAGTTTTGAAAATGTCATCTTCTGAGATAGTCACGGATACAAGGCATAACATGAATGAGTCGCGAGGTAGTTGAGCCCGGCTTTGTACAAAGTTTTCACATTTTACTAAAAAATTTACACAAAAAATCGGATGCGGAAATCATTGTCATGGTCTGTTTGTTTGAAAATTGAGCGTGTTGCTTGTTTACTTTTAGGTACTGATCTAAAATTTGCATTCTAGTAACATACACTGTAGGCAATACGTTGCATAATAAATAGCACCTTTCGACTACTAGAAAAATGAAACTGTCTTAGCGGAAATATTTCTCTTGCCTACAGCATGTCTGCTTCTATCTTTGATACTAAACCGTGGACCTCTGTTAGCCGACCAGAGTCTATCTGGTCCACTGCTCAAAATAAAGACTGTACTTTCAATTTGAAAAATTCAATTGAAATCTTGAGCTTTGTCATAATATAGGACCCTACTCTATTGACCATTAACCGAAACTGATATCCAGTTCCTCCATCTTGAAAAAATCCATGTAACTCTTAAACTCTGATTCAAGCATGAATTTGTAAAAAATATAGTTCCATTATAATATTAACAGTGAAATTTTTAATGATTTATAATTACAAAGAAACTTCGCTGACAATTACCTCAATTGTATTGATTGTATGATCGATGCTTGTGATCAGACACTGTCAAAGGAGTCCAGACTAGAAGCTACTAGAAACGAAATGAACCTTAGGTGTTTATGTACGATAGAAAATTAGGTAATAAAAACTGATTTCCCTTAATTTTGGTTCCACTCGTATTTCCTCGCGATCTTACACTTAGGCATTCCACGGCTTGGAGCGTGTTTCAAATGTAGTCAGCTACTGCCTTGCCGAACTCAGTCGCGCTACTCACGCCCAGGAAGGAATACAGTTGACTCCCGATAACTCGAACCTCGAGATATCTCGAACCAAAATCGATTCCCCCTGGATTTTCGTCATACATTTACTGTAATTTTACCCTCGGAAACTCGAATCTCCCGCTAACTCGAAATAGTTTTTGTTTCCCCTCAGATCATTTCTATGTAATTTTACCCTCGATAACTCGAACCATGTTTTGATCCCTTAAAACCTTAAAAACTCGGGAAAAAGTCTACTGGCGTCCGAAACATTGAATTTTGAGTTTCCCATTAACGTGTTGTAGGCATATTATAGTTTACTAGTGGAGGCTGATGTTGTTTGTCACAAATCTAACGTGAAACAGCTTCACTTCTCAAAGCAGTAAAACGCATGCTCTAATTAGATTATTTGTTACGTTAAATTCTGATTTATGATCAAGAAGTATCTTTTAATTTTCACTTGACATTTCTACAATTAAATGTGATTAAAGTGGTTACTGTGCAGTAAAAAACTGTTCTTTTCCTTACTTCCGGCTATTTTCTTCGAGTTCCCGAAAACTCGATTTCCCTTGAAGGTTCGAGTTATCGGGAGTCCACTGTAAGTAGAAATAAGTTATTGCTAAGGAACAGCGTCGCGAAGACGTGAGGATGCGAGGAGGCAGCGTAATAAAGCCGCTGCGCAAAAGTTTCAAGGCAGAATGAATCTGGAATCGATGTAATTTTTTAATAATTGTTTATATGCCTGTTTCCCATATGAAAATGAAGGTGATGCTCGTCGGCACTTTTAGCAGTAGAAATTTCAGAGTTTGGTCTGACTTAGGTTGTTCAGAAAGGAAAGAGATTACTCTTAACCCATATAAAATTGCTGAGGGTTGTGCATAAAGATTAAGCTAAATAAAAGTAGCAAATGCCGTCATTGTGTTGGAGTATTGGGGTCAAATCCTGACTCGTCCCCAGTTGTCCTCAGTCTCCTATTAATATTAACGAGAGAAGCGTGGTAAAGGGAAGTGCGGGGGATGATGAGAAGGGGGAAAGAGACTTCATTTCCCCTTTCACCTTCCCATCGTCCCCTTCACACCAGTGCCGTAATAGTCTCCCGCAACCGTTCCTTGACCGCTTACAAAATAGTAAGAGACGACTGAGGACGAGTCAGTGGTCAAATCAAGCTGGAGGCACACATAGTTGAAAGGCTTAATTCCAATTTTGCAACGTACGGGCACGATTTTTTTGATACGACAATTTCCTCCCCGGAAATCTATCTTTCTGGATCGACAGAGATATTCAGCTCTACTTTTCAAATTAAACGAAACAGCTTTCTTCTTTGGAGATAAGTACTGTTGCTATGTAAAGCTTGCTGTTAATATCACAGTATCATCCTTGATCAGTCGATTAAAACAATAGGTAGAGTCTTTAGTCGTGTCTTTATCAGATATAAGGACACTCATTAAACATTAATTTCTTTTGCTTTTTCGGAAGTAACTATTAAAGCCAAGATAGAGCAAGAGCTTACTCAGGTAGCAGTTGGCAAGCAGTCCAAACCACTAAAAGTAGTGAAGCCTGCAGAAATGAGAGGTAAAAACAAGCCACCCAAGAAGAAGGGAGGTGGCAAAAAGAAGAAGTAACTTCATCATTTGAAGCTGTTTCAATGCAACAAGTGTGGAACAAGATGCATATTAGCATGATTTGTGTATTTTAATCATAATTTCTATATCTATCTATTCCTTAGCAGCAGATGTAGAATAGTATTGAACAACTTTGTAGCCAATTTTAACCTTTTCTATGTTCCTCATAATATTACCTCATGAGCTAATGAGAGTGGGAGGAATTCTTTACTTCGTTTTAACACTTGGAGAACATATTTAATCACCCTGGCTTTATTTTAAAACGTGTTTTTATGGTCCATTCTCTTCCTCAATAGTCTTTGTAACTCTACTAAAAGTACAGGCCCCAGTTGTTCAAAAGGCGGATACCGCTATCCACTGGATAAAACACTATCCACTGGATAGCGCAATTGGTCTCCCTAACACTTATTCGTTGGATAGTGATTTATTCGGTGGATAGCGCAATCCAGCTTTTGAACAACTGAGGCCTGATGTAAAACTTTTCAGGTATAATCCTTGTGGCCTAATGGGTGGTCATGGAAACTTTCTGGAAAAGTGCATTCCCAGTTAACGGCTAAAGACCGTGATACAAATGTATTTGTTAACTGACCATCATTATTGAGTTCAAAAGATTGAACTAAATCCAAGGCAGTGTTCACCTTCCAAATTACCCGTATATTCAGCAATAAAAGGGACTTCGGAACTACATGATAAGCTTCTCCTTTTTCGATTGTTATTATCATCGTCATCGACGTCATCGTCATCAGCATTATTTTTACTATTATTATTAACCCATTTGCAGTTGGGAATTTTGCTGAAACACATCTTTTGATGCTAGCCAAGCCATTTTCTGTCAAGCCAAAAGGAAGCTCTTCTCCTTAGCTAAAAAGACCTAAACATTTCTTTTTAAGTGCGGGACTATGCTGCAGTTCCAGTGTTCCAGATGCTAAATTGTAGCATTTAAAGTTCGGGAATGCGCAAAAGTTACCGATCCAAAATTTCTTCAATAAGTCAACCGTTTTGATCTCTGGTCAAACACTTTTCTTTTTCCCCAACAAAGGAATAAATTTACCTGATTGAAGACTCAAATGTTACCACGTAACAATTTGATTTCGTGAGTGAAGGTTTGGCATCCGCGACGAAGTGGCTGTGACTAAAATTTTAGTGTGAAAAGACCTTTCTCTGTTCTGAATTCAGCATTATATCATCGCGGTCTTATTTCCATAACCTCATTCTTCATACGAGCTCAGTTTTAGCTCTTCACGTGTAAAATTATCAGTAGCATTTTGCAACGACAGTCCCACGGCATCACTTTCAAAATGAGATTCGAGACAAATTTCGGTTCGAAAGAGAAAATAATGCCTCGAAATCTTTCGGGAAAGGCTAGAATTTTGTGGATAAAAGTTACATTTCTCTAAACTATTTGGTTTCACACGATTTTTTCAATTTGGGAGTTTGAGTTTTTCACATTTTATTACCGAGCTATTACGCGCGATTATTGTTTAAAAAGATCTCCCAAACATTTCAGTAAAAATTAAAAACGTTCCGTAGAATCTTCTACTTAAGGTGCGGCTACTCCATGTCCTCAAAATTACGATCGGACCCATTAGGGTACCTAACAGTTTCATATCAGATGAGACAAAAAAGCCACCTTTAACTTTCGAGACGATTAAAGTTTCTCCAAGACATCTGAACAGCTAAATAGTATTTAGGAAACTTCCAAATTTACCAAACAGGGTCGGTCTTTGAGTGCCCCTTTTTTTGTACCATCAGCTGAAGATAACTAATCACTCGGACTTTGATGCTGACTTCTGTTACTTTATTGTAAAATGATAAACCAAAGAATCGGGTAGAAGATAACAAAGGGAAAATTAAGGTCGGGAGGGTAGTAAATTCATATTTCACGCACAAGTTATTTTATTTCAAAGCCCTTTTATTTGTTGAGATAAAAAAAGTCGCTCAAACATTGTTGTCACCTTGTAATATTTTATAATGCAGAAGTAATCAAAATGGAACGTTTTTAGGGACGTCTCAGCCTTGAGAAGCTTACATTACATGTTGCACTTTCAAAAGATATTTAATGCGGAAACTTAACCTAAACCCATGGCTCTAATAATGAAAATTTACTTTAGTTTGCTTACTGATTATCCCCGAAATATTACTCTGTTCATGATTATCTTTCAAAGTGAAACAAAACCTGTGGCTTTGCTGTTATTAAGCCTGTGGGGGAGGTACTTCTTCCACGTATATCCGGGACACTGAGTTCCAGCCTGTTTCAGCATCAGCAGATCCGAAACCAGCACAATTACCGACCCAGAATCCCACGCGAACAGTACCCTTGTGGATTTTCTCACAGACTCCTTCAATGTGACGTGGACGGTGTAAGTTCTTTTTGCCGCCATTTCCATATACCATGTAGACTACACCGTCAATGGCACCTGGTGTTGAACACTCTGCACCGTTGAGAGTGAAATACCATCTCCTGCAGCATCCATGGCAGCCATAGAGACGAAGATTTCCATTCCAGAAGACTCGCAACCCTGTGGTATCGGATGTTTTCTTGAAAATGCATTCCTTTAAAATGGCCAAAAGAAGAAAGATCAGCGAGTTGAACCGAAATTCTTTTCCGTTTTTCATCAATACGAAATGTATTGTGGGATCGCCCTGAGGCAATCATTTCAAGAATGTTTCGAATTTATCTCATTCCACTGCTTAAACTGTTGTATTTACCGTGTAAAGACGATTCGGAATAACAACGAGACAGACAGAAACAAATCTGCACAATACAAAGTCAAGCCACGACGCTACAAATGACTTTTAATTACAACAGAAAATCTATAAAAAAAAGTCCTACCAATTTCTCAAGTACGCACGTGCGTATTTGCGTTAAGGGCTCTACGCCACTGCGAATTTCACTCAAATTCAGACAAAAAATATACGTTTATCTTAAACTGATAAATTGGACCTTTTCCCTGCATTTTGTATCATTCCATGGATAGCTCGCACTAGTTCCGAAACAAGCATTTTTCTTTTCTCAAATGACTCGCCTCGAGTTTTATACCTGAAAATACACGACTGGGAGTTTTTTGAACGGCTTCAAAATCTCTGATATAGATTCTTCACTGTTGCACTAATATTTAGATTTGGGGTCATTTTGGTCTAAAAAATTAGACAAAGTTTAGCCTTATCTTTATCAGATATAAAGACACTCATTAAACGTTAGTTTCTATGAATTATTAATGATTTTTGAATCGGTCATAACCAGACTTATTAATTTACTTAGGATTAATTTATATAATCTACAACGACCAACTCAGTTGTTACCTTTATCAATCCGGAGTCCCTTCCATCGTTCAGATTCTTAAAAACGCATTGTTTCCAATTACGAGCAAACGATCCTGAAGCACCCTTTGGACCTGGAGGACCTTTACTTCCATGAGCACCTGTATCACCCTTGTTTCCAGGGGAACCAGCTGAACCCGAGGCTCCTTGACGTCCCTTGGGACCAGGGGGACCTTGCTTTCCACGAGCACCTGTATCACCCTTGTTTCCACGGGAACCAGCTGAACCTGAAGGTCCTTGAGGTCCCTTGGGACCAGGGTGACCTTGACTTCCGCGAGCACCTGCATCACCCTTGTTTCCAGGGGAACCAGCTGAACCTGCTTCACCTTTGTCCCCACGTGGACCTGCTGGGCCTGCAGGTCCTTTAACTCCTTTGACGCCTGGTGTTCCCTGTCTTCCACGGGCTCCTTCATCGCCTTTCTTTCCTCGTGGGCCCATGGGTCCTTGAGGTCCATGATTGCCGGGTGATCCCGCGGTACCTGCTGGTCCCGCGGGTCCAGGGCTTCCTGGGATGCCGGGAAATCCTGGTGCACAGAAACACCCACCATGACCACAGGAACCATAAGGTGAAGTCTGTTGAGGAATACTCTAAATGAACAATTTAAAGACTCATTCCGTTTTAATTTATGATCACTCGATTAAGTCAATCAATCAACCTCAGTCAAGCATCCTTACATACAAAATCACCGTTCATTCATTCTACCTCACTAAGTTTCTTCTTTCAGGTTAATAGTTCAGGTATCATCAACTGACCTTCACTTCTCATATATTACAGCTATTTTTACAATATTTGATTAAACAAACTCACATTGTCCCGTGGTTTGCTGCTGTTGTTGTCATTTGCAGAACACAAGGTAATCAGCAGTAAGAGCAGCCCGCATAACACAGTAGCCAGCGGTATCTTCATAAAGGTTTGCATGATGAGGAAACCTGTGAAAACAGGAGTACGCTCAAAATTATGACCAAATATTCTTTAGAAAGGGATCGCTTTCAATGATTTGCTAAGTAAACATTTTTTCTTTTTTCAAAATGCGGATAACAAGCAACGCGAATTGATGATCTGTGGCGAAGTTATTATTTGTTTTGGAGAGAAAAAAAATCAGTTTCATTCATCAATTTCAGACCGGCTTTTACACACTTAAAATTAAAGTGTAATGTTACAAAGGAAAATTTGTAATATTACACTTTTTAACGAGTAAAGCGTTACACAGAATTTTCAGCTTCTATTTAGGGTTACGGTTGTTGCTATATGAATGAAAATGAAACTCCATCTAGCAGAGAGTATCCCGTGGTAGAGTGGTTAGGCCACATACTAAATTCTACGTCCTGGGATCGGTTCTCAATCCATATCTTACCCCATCGAATTTGTTTTTCCTTTTAGAATTTGCCACTGAATTTTTTTTTCCTTAAAAATTGAACGTTTGTTGAAAAGACTTACACTTTCATGGAAATTTAATGACACAAATTTCAAGAGACTTAGAAATTTCATATAAATTTCAAGAAGACACTTGATCCCGTATGAATAGCAAATACACTTTGGTGTACGGGTCACGCACGAATAGCCACTGGGTACATTATATCAACATTTGGGATCAAAAGGTGCAAAATTCTGTGTTTTATGAAGCATTTCTACCGATCACTTGAATCAAGCCGAGTGCGGGCGTTACAAAATACAGTAAATATACGGGATCACATGTTGCGCGTGACATCACGATCCCTCGAACAGTTCGGATGGTCTACCTGTGGTAATACGTAGAAAAAAGTGTACACTTTTCAAATATGAACAGAAGTATCAATGATATGTAGAATAGAGATAAATCCAAACCAGAAAAATATATTAAGCTTGTCCAATTTTTATATGTGATTTCGCATACAAAAACGTGTAATTGCACGAGACTTAAAAAGGCTTAATATCATTTTCATTACTTTACCTGTGTTTTGTTTTCATCATGGCTCTGGTCCACCGGCCAGGTGGTTATGTGAGGTGGTCATGCCAGCCTTTGACTAATGACTCAGTCAGGTGGTTTTGCCCGCTTGTTTCCAGGGGACTCATGGATTGGAATAAAACGTGTTTTTCGAGTAATTTTGTGATCAGATATCTGAATTGAATCTGAAGCTTTCGTTTCAATACCAAGTTATAAAGTCGTATAGCTGTGTTTTGTTTTCATCCTGGCCCTGGTCCACCGGCCAGGCAGTTATGTAAGGTGGTTATGCCCGCCTTTGACTAACGACTCAGTCAGGTGGTTTTGCCCGCCTGTTACTGGGGGTCTTGGACTGGACTAAAACATGTTTTTTGAGTAATTTTGTGATCGGATATCTGAATTGTATAGTAAAGCGTTCGTTTTGATACCAAGTTATAAAATCTTATAGTGTGTTTTGTTTTCATCATGGCCCTGGCCCTCCGGCCAGGCAGTTATGTAAGGTGGTTATGCCCGCCTTTGACTAATGACTCAGTCAGGTGGTTTTGCCCGCCTGTTACTGGGGGTCATGGATTGGAATAAAACATGTTTTTTGAGTAATTTTGTGATCGGATATCTGAATTGTATACCAGTGAAGCTTTTGTTTCGTTACCAAGTTATAAAGTCTAATGGTGTGTTTTGTTTTCATCATGGCCCTGGTCCTCCGGCCAGGCAGTTATGTAAGGTGGTTATGCCCGCCTTTGACTAACGACTCAGTCAGGTGGTTTTGCCCGCCTGTTACTGGGGGTCATGGATTGGAATAAAACATGTTTTTTGAGTAATTTTGTGATCGGATATCTGAATTGTATACCAGTGAAGCTTTTGTTTCGTTACCAAGTTATAAAGTCTAATAGTGTGTTTTGTTTTCATCATGGCTCTGGTCCACCGGCCAGGCAGTTATGCAAGGTGGTAATTTTCATGCCCTCCTTTGACTTATGACTCAGTCAGGTGGTTTGGCCCCCCTATAGTGTTACTGGGGGTCATGGATGGAATAACAAATGTTTTGAGTTATTTTAATTTGTGATTTGATATCTGAATTGAATATCTGAAGCTGTGTTTTGTTTTGTAGAGGAGGAAAAATGTACTTGATTGTTAAGACTCTAGAGAAAAAACCTTTTTATATCTTAAACCTAATATGTGATTATTTTGTAAATGAAATTTAATTTAAGTAGTTTACCTTAACCATGTTTGTCAAGAGAGCATTATTGTGTTACTTCAATTAGAAGGAACTCTAAAACACTCGGTCCAATTTTCAACCCTCATGACCGATAAAATAAATTAAGAACACTTTAATATCGACTAAACCAAGTCTTGTTTGTTTTTTTTTTTTTCAATTTCGTTTGTCACGCAGGTTGCAGCCACAAGAGGACAATATCTAGAAGAAGCAAAAAAGATGCACGGCCATCCATTTTTACTGTGGGAAAGGCATTACACCATGACTGGAAAAATACTAATAATTGGAGAGGAAGATGTCCTGCTAACTATCTTTGCCGGTACCACCTTGCAGCTCAAACCTTGAACCTCATCCGGGTCAGACCTAAGCACTGATTTGTGATAGGACAGTATGCATCACTCCTGCCTAAGCAGTTAGACAGTACGCACCATGGCTTGCACACTTGACCTTTCATTTTTACTTATTGCTAGAAGTCTAGCTGCTTATTCAGTGATTAAAAATGTGATTTGCTATATTTTTCAAATGCGTAATTTTTTGCCTAATACTATAAATTGATGTAATATTACTTTTCTGTTAATGTTTTATTACCCCTATGGGAAGTGCAATTTTACACTTGACCAAGGTGTAAACCATTCACAGTTACACTGTTTGGTGTGTAAATGAACCTTCTGGTTGCGTGTCAAATTACACTATTGGACAATGTGTAATAATACGCACAAAAAAAAGGCTGCCGGGGCTGGCAAAGCTACTACACTATCATTCGGTGTAATATTACTCTTCTATTAGTATTTTATTACACTTATAAGAACTGCAATTTTACACTTGACCAAAGTGTAAACCACTCACATTACACTGATTGGTGTGTAAATATAACCTCTAGTTGTGTGTTAAATTACGCTATTATAAAATGTGTAATAATACACAGAAAAAAAAGGCTGCCGGGGCTGGCAAAGCTACTACACTATCATTCAGTGTAATATTACTCTTCTATTAGTATTTTATTACACTTATAAGAACTGCAATTTTACACTTGACCAAAGTGTAAACCACTCACATTACACTGACTGGTGTGTAAATATAACCTCTAGTTGTGTGTTAAATTACACTATTATAAAATGTGTAATAATACACAGAAAAAAAAGGCTGCCGGGGCTGGCAAAGATTTTACACTTTTTTTTGGAGTAATATTACACTTTAATTTTAAGTGTGTAGCATTACTTGAGAACATTACCATGTCCTTGCAATTATATGTCGATCTTACACTGACGCTTAAAACTCTTCGACATTTCGTTGAAACGCTCGCTTAAGATTTTAGCACTTATAATAGAACGTTAGCGACTGCTAAGCAATATTCAAACAAAAAAAACACGCAACAAAACAAGGCTAGTAGCAGTAAGCCTTACATTTAATATTTCGTGAAAAGAAACGGTTCAAATTGAAACCAGACTGAAAAGACCTCCAAGCAATCGTTTAATTAAACTGAATATTTTAGTTTGATACGAAAGATTGTTGGAAACATTGACTCAAGTCCTACCTTGCTTGTATGAACGACTGCAGTGATCCGAAGACGAATGATAATTTTTTTGACATTATACCAAGGATTTTATGTCCTATTTTGACCAATTTTACATAAAAACGTGTTTTAGACAAGTTTGAAAGATTGTTAAATGTAAGTTACTAGAAGTATTCCTATAGGTTACATGTAAATCAGCCAGTCTTAATTGACCCACAACTGAAAGGAGTCATGTATTACTTTTGTTTTTAAGTTGCAAGTGAAAACGAGTTGGAAGGCTCCATGACGTTATAGCAATTATTTTGTAAACCGGCCAATGATAAGAACTGTTTTAAACTTCCTTTGAGATACAAGTTGAACCAAGTTTGAACTGAGGGCACTGATGTATTAATTTAACGAGCTCTGAAGACAATCGTTCTTATTAATATCTGCACACGTAATTTTTGGAAAATTTTGTATGCGGCAAATTTGTCCTGCAAAATATTTAGCGATGCAACCTGAAGACGCTTTGGAGGCTATTTAATAAAAACCCGCGACTAAGAACCTGCATTTTCCCAAATTAGCCTAACATAAATGGCAATTAGCACCAAGTTTAGGCCTTTTCGGTTCTTAAATAGGTTCTTGATTGATTTTCTGAATGAAAAAATGCATTGTAGCGAAGACTATTTTGTTGTATTCGGCTTCTTCCTTACATAAAATCACTGCATACCAATACATTCCAGTTGGATTGATGAAGCACCTATGTCTCGGCCAAACGGGGATATGAATGTTGCCTTTTTTTATTTGCCCATATGTACAAAATTTTTTTAAAACATTTTAAAATAAGAACCTGTTTGAAATTTTAGGCTAAACAGGTTCTTGTGTAGAGGGGCCTAACTGACACAGACAGTGAAATTCTCGAAAGATATCCTCGTTTCTTTTTTCTTCATCTTATCTCTGACACTTTTGATTCCTTCAAGTAGCTCAGTCAGTTCTGGAAAATCCGAAAAAAATTCTCTGTAAAGTGTGCAAGCACTGTTTAAGTGAAAGAATTTTAACTGATTTCACTCTCGAGAGTGACCCTAATACAATGAGAGGCTAAATTATAATCAGATCGCGAGAGGCTTAATTTTGGGAGGATTAATAAGTTTTAGAAGAAAACGATTCTTAAAATATTCGCCTTTTGACGAGATTATTTTTCTAAAACATTTTCTAAAAAAGTCGACGGAGATGTTCTTCAAAACTTCACACTAACACGGTTTATTATGACATGAGGCATTCAACTTACCTCTAAGATTTCCAGTTGTGCCACCCACAGTGTGTCAGTAGACAAATCAATGGACTGCAGAGAAATAGGAAAATTGTGATTAATACGTAACGTAACTTTTGAAGAATCCATGGTTAAGTAAAAATATACAAACCTACTCTGTTCGTTTTTAAGCCTTAAAATTCTTTTCTTGTCTTCGTTTTTCCGACTATTTTGTGACAGTCATGAATCATTCTATGCTCGTAGAAACAAGTTTAGAGAACATTGTACTTATGTTCCAACGAGCAATGCCATTGGCTGTAGTGTTTGTTTTGTCAGTCAGTGATTTATCCAATGAAATGGCATCTTTTACTGCGAGCCACAGCATACATGTTGAGTAATCATGGATCTGTTACCTTGCACTTGGAAAAAAGGAAGAAATTCCCTGTTTTTGTAATTATTTATTTAGTTTGCTATTTAACATTGATACTGCACTCTCGTTGTCTCTTTACGACCGGAGGAAGAAATCTATAGGAGATTATTAAACGAAACACCTTTCTCAATTTTCATGTACCGTTACCAATCCAGAATTGGTTTGAGTCTCAAAATATTGAGTGAAAACACTTTTCATAACTAAATGTAAACGAAATGAAAGATGCGAAAGTCGTGGAACTTCTAAGAATTCTAAATCTTATTACGCGTTCGCTCTCACTCAAGATCTGCTTCATAAGTCACACGTAACCCGAAATCTCTCTTTAACAACCCATCTATTGAAGATTTTTCGTGCTCGATGATATATATTTGCTGTCCTTTTATTGGACGATTTTTCTCTTAATATTTCTTCAGATTCTGACCCGTTCATTTTTCGTCTTACTTGGCGACGTGAGGCGAGAATAATGGCAGGTGAACTAACCCTTTCATAATGGTATGTATTGGGATGATGGTTTGAGTAAAACTGAGGAAAAAAGACTACGAACATGCATGGATTTTATGACGCGTGGCTCATTTTGTATCGATCATTTTAATTTCTAGTCCCGATCAGAATTTCTCTGCCGGTATACGTCGACTTTTGAAAAGTGGGCTATATTTAATTGTTCTTTTTAACGACACTTTTATTTTCTTCTTGTTTTATCTTTGACTGGACAGATAGTCGACTTTAGTCTTGATTTATACGTTTGAAATAGAGAACGCTATGAAATTGTACATTTTTGTATTCCGAAGTTTAAAATTAAAAATGTAAAATCGAAATGACATTGAAAGGAATCAGAATCTGATGCGAATGCGGTTTCTACACGATTGCATTGAGAAATCTGTAGTAAGACTGGAACAGGGCAGACATTTATAGGCTCCGTCGCCGTTTCAACATGCAAAAACTATTGAATACATACCTTCCAGTGATCCATTTATCAAGGTTTCGTCTTCTGGCGGAAAATTCACGGGTCAATCGTGAGCAAAGGGACGGCAATGAATTAAGCTATATGCAACTTCTGGTTGAGCGAGACGTGGATTTTTCAAGCCATCTCGCATATTACTGTTCAGAGCAATCAGTGAAGAATAGTAGAATCACGATTTCTCGAACTCTCGGCTTTTTTTTTAAATTCCCGATATTTTGAACCAAACCTAAATTCCCTTTACCAGTCAAACACAGTAGTTTTACCCCCGTTTTTCAAACGTCCCGATATTTCGAAGAAATTGCTTGTTTTGCAAAGCAATTTTACTTTGTTTCCTTCGCATGCATAATAATTTTCTCGTCAGACCACGTTTTACAAAAATGTGATTTCGACTGGGGTAGGGAGCGGAGAGGTGGCGGCGAGAAGCAAAGGTGGGGTAAGGTGCATGGAGGGTGATGTGGGAATTTGACTGTGTTCGATTTCTGTTTTATAGTAGCTTTATCATATGGTGTAGACGGCCACTCCAAGAGAAGTCTGAGTTTTACGAGTAGACCTGACCTGGATTGTACATAGTATACTTGTTTTACTCAATATGTGTCTTCTTTTAATGACGCCAGTGAAATGTGCTCTTCTACGCATTTCTCTTCAGTTACCGCAACTTTTTTTTCTCTTAACGCGAAACACATTTCAAATAACCTAAGACAGGAGGCCTTCTGCCTAAGAACGATATCATTTCAAATAGGGCCCAGTCTAAAATTGTCGTCGTTTCTGCATGTCGCGAGTGGCATGCTTCAATGCGGTTTGTAGTATTAATTTCCAATTTAAACGTGGCGAGTTCTCGATTTAAGCTTTCTAAAAACATTCAAAACGAAATATGGTGTTCACAGTCATGCCCTTTAGTTTTGTAAATTTTATCTTCTAAGATAGCCAAAGATACTAGGAATAAAATGAATGATGCGCGAGTTAGTACAGCGTTTTTACAAAATTTTCGAATTTTACTTAAAAATTTACTCAACAAATTGCATGCGGAAGTCATTGTCATGGTCTGTTTGTTTGAAAATTGAGCGTGTTATTTGTTTAAAATGAAGTACGGGCGTAAAATTTGCATTCTTGTAACATACCCTTAGGCAAAACGTTGACTACTAGAAAAAATGAAATAAACTGACTGAAAGTGCTTTAGTGGAAATATTTTTCATGCCACATGGTGTCTGCTTGTATCTTTGATAGTAAAAAAAAGCGTGCGTGGACTTCTGTTAGCCGACCAGGGTCTGGCTCAGTGCCCCAAAATATACTGTAGTTTCAATTTGAAAAATTCAATTTTCCAGAATAAAATAGTTTTGTGGCATAATATAGGACCCTCCTCAATTGAACATAAACCGAAACTAATATCCATGCAGTTCCTCCAGAACCATGTAACTGTTAAATGTAATTAAATGTCGTCTGATACAAGCAGGAGTAGCTAGGAGTCTGAAATTCTGTAACGAAGTGAACCTTAGATCTTTAGGCATAGCAGTTAATCAGGTAAAAAAACTGATTTGCCTTAATTTTGGTTCAATTTGTTTTGCCTCGCGATCGTACACTTAGGCATTCCTCGGCTTGGAGCGCGTTTCAAATATAGTCAGCTTCTGCCTTACCGGACTCAGTCGCGTTCACTGCCTACTTTACTCACGGGCAAAACGGTTCCTATTTATATTCACGACTAAGAGACGGGAATGGGTGTGCAGCTCGAACTATGGAGCCTGAGTGTTTAATGCCGTCCAAATGACATACAAAGTTCAACATCATAACTAAAGAATGGTAAACAAATATTCCTAAATAAAGTCACTCAGGCTAAACTATTCACGTGCGCCGCCTGATACGAAAACCCAAAAAACCCAATGGGAAAAAATTGGGAACGTATTCCCCAACCGATGCGGTCGCACAACCTCTGGGGGTTAAAGGTAAAAAATCAATCGATAGATGAATAAAGTAAGGTATAAAAATAAAATTTGATAGTTCGAGAGCTGAGATGAATACATTACAACTGTCAAAACCTTATATACCTTACAACAATAGAGTCAATTAACGCCATAGCGGCTCACGTGCGTTCATACCAATAGGAAAGTATTTACATTCTCTGTCACTGCCACTACGTTTAGCTCCGCCGAATGTAAATACATTTCGCTGATTGTTCTGATACGCTACTTGATTTCAGCTTAAGAGTCGTTTTTCTGCCTTGTCAAACTCAATTTATATACTAAAAATGTATTAAAATATATAGAATGTAAATTTAAAAGTTTAGTGTTCAAACTGTTTATTATTATTTTTATTACTATTGTTATTTCTATGTTTTGTTTTCGATTCGACAACGGCTATACTTTATGCGACGTCTGAAACTGTCGCGCTGCAGTCACCCTAGCGTCGTACTACGGTCGAGCCAGCTTAGTAAGGAGGAAACAAAGGCGTTTGCAAACTTTCAATTTTTCCAATGAAAACGCAGCTTTTTGAGTCCAATACCTCGTCAGAGAGAGCTCTGGGAACACTAGGAAATGTCTCCAGTCGTCTCTAAGTCTCCTATTAATATTAACGCGAGAAAAGCGCGGTGAAGGAAAGTGCGTGGGATGATGGGAAGGAGGAAAGAGACTTCCTTTCCCCTTCCACCTTCCCATCGTCCCCTTTTCACCAGTGCTGTAATAGTCTCCCGCGACCATTCCTTGACCGCTTACGCACAAAATAACAAGAGACGACTGGGACGAGTCAGTGGTCAAATCAAGCTGGAGCCACACCCAGGCACGGTGTTTTTAATACGAGAATTCCTTCCTCGGGAATTTACCTTTCTGCGTCTACAGCTATCTACTGAGATATTCAGCTCTAGTTTTTTAATTAAAACAAAACAGCTTTCTTCTTTGGAGATTAGTACAGTTACTGTGTAAAGCTTGCTCTTTACCTCACAGTATCATCTTGGATCAGTGGAATTAAAACAATAGGTAGACGCTGCTGACTGCTTTTACAGTTGAAATGCTAGAACGCCAGGAACATAAAAAACGAGCAGGAGTGTTTAAAAACTCGAGGCGAAGCCAAGAATTTTTCAACCTGCGAGTTTTATGAACGGCTTCGAAATCTCTGATACAGATCAACTCATTCTTGCACTAATATTTAGATTTGGGGTTATTTTGGTCTAAAAAATTGGACTTAAAGTTTAACCGTGTCTTTATCAGATATAAAGACACTCAATAAACATTAATTTCTTTTGCTTTTTCTTTATGAATAATTAATGAGTTTTTAAAAATATTAATAAGGGACTGGAAGTACCTATTAAAGCCAAGACAGAGCAAGAGTTTACTCAGGTAGCAGTTGGCAAGCAGTCCAAACCACTAAAAGTAGTGAAGCCTGCAGCGGTGGGAGGTAAAAACAAGCCACCCAAGAATAAGGGAGGTCACGGTGGCAAAAAGAAGAAATAACTTCATCATTTGAAGCTGTGGCAATGCAACAAGTATGGAGCAACATGCATATTAGCATAATTTGTGTATTTATCAAAATTTATATATCTATCCATTCCTTAGCAGCAGATGTAGAATAGCATTGAACAACTTCTGTAACCAATTGTAACCTTTTGTATGTTCCTCATAATCTTACCTCATGAGGTAATGAGAGTGGGAGGAATTCTTTACTACGTTTTAACACTTGGAGAACATATTTAATCACCCTGGCTTTATTTTTAAACTTGTTCTTATGGTTCATTCTCTTCCTCAATAGTCTTTGTAACACAACTAAAAGTATAGGCCCCAGTTGTTCAAAAGGTGGATACCGCTATCCACTGGATAATTCACTATCCACTGGATAGCGTAATTGGTCTCCCTAATGCTTATTCATGGGATAGTGATTTATCTGGTGGATAGCGCTATCCAACTTTTGAACAACTGAGGCCTGATGTATAACTTTTCAGGTATAATCCTTGTAGCCTAATGGGTGGTCGTGGAAACTTTCTGGAAAAGTGCATTCCCAGGTTAACTAAAGACCTTGATACAAATGTATTTCTTAATCCTTTAAGTCCCAATATCCACATACAAATTCCTCAAACTGATATCCATACATTTCCTTGAAGAATTAGTTGAGAGAATTTGGTAAAAGATCAAATATTTTTCTCTTTGTGATCATTTTGTTAATTCTCATAGACTTTGATTGATTTTGAGCACTATTGACCATCATTATTGAGTTCAAAAGATTAAACTAAATCCAAAGCAGTGTTCACCTTCCAAATTACCCGTATATTCAGCAATAAAATGGACTTTGGAACTAAATGATAAGCTTCTCCTTTTTCGATTGTTATTATCATTATTATCATCATCATCGTCATCAGCATTATTTTTACTATTATTATTAACCCATTTGCAATTGGGAATTTTGCTGAAACATGTCTTTTGATGCTAGCCAAGCCATTTTCTGTCTAGCCAAAAGGATACTCTTCTGCTTAGCCAAAAAGACCCAAACATCCCTTTTTAAGTGGGGGACTATGCTGCATGCAGCTCCAGTTTTTCAGATGCTAAATTGTAGCTTTTAAAGTTCGGGAATGCGCAAAAGTTACCGATCCAATATTTCTTCCGAATAAGTAAACCGTTTTGATCTCTGGTCAAACAAATTTCTTTTTCCTCAACAAAGAAATAAATTTACCTTAAGACTCAAACGTTACCACATAAGGCAAAAAAATCCTTGACAGTCAAATATTTTGCCTCATTAAGCGAATAAGGTCAAGCAACAATTTGATTTCCTGAGTGAAGGTTTGGCATCCACGACGAAGTGGCTGTGACTAAATTTTCATGTGAAACTGCATGAAGACCTTTCTCTGTTCTAAATTTCACCGTTATAACATCGTAGTCTTATTCTTCATACGAGCTCAGTTTTAGCTCTTTACGTGTAAAATTATCAGCAGCATTTTCCAACGACAGTCCCACGGCCACTTTCAAAATGAAATTCTTTTCCGGGGCACCCAACGAATCTTTTTTTCCCTTAAAATAACGTTTCGAAAGAGAAAATAATGCCGAGAATGGCTAAAATTTTCTGGATAGAAGTTACTTTCCTCGAAGATACTCGGTTTCATACGATTTATTTATTTGGGAGGTTGTGTTTTCACATCATGTTATTACCAAGATATTGCGCGCGATTATAGTTCACAAAGGTCTCCTGAAAATTTCGTTCAAAAGTCAAAACCTTCCGTAGAATCTTCTATTTTTAAATATGCAGCTACTCCACGTCCTCAAACTTGCGACCGGACCCATCAGGGTAGCTAACAGTTTCAGATGAGACGAAAAGGCCACCTAAAACTTTCGAGACCACCAGAATTCTCCAAAGACATACGAACAGATGAATAGTAGTTAGTGCACCCTTAAATTTACCAAACAGGCTCATAAAACAATCGGTAGATGGATGCCCTTATCAGCTGAAGATACACTAGTCGCTCTGAATTTGATGCTGACTTCACACACAGGAAAATAACCTTAAATGATAACCCAAAGAATCGGGAACTAAGAAAAACAAAGGGGAAAGAAAGGTCGAGATGAGTTAGGGTAGTAAATTCATATTACACGCCGTTCAGTTTATTTTAAAGCCCTTTCATTTATTGAAATCACCCTCAAAATATTACTCTCTTCATGGAAAGCGGAAAAAAAAACTTTGGCTCTGGTGTTATTAAGCCTGTGGGGGAGGTACTTCTTCCACGTACATCCGGGACACTGAGTTCCAGCCTGTGTAAGCATCAGCAGATTTGTAACCAGCACAATTGCCGACCCAGAATCCCACGCGAACAGTACCCTTGTGGATTTTCTCACAGACTCCTTCTATGTGACGTACGCGGTGTAAATCCTTTCTCGCGCTATTTCCATATATCATGTATACCACTCCGTCAATGGGAGCCGGTGTTGAACACTCTGCACCGTTGAAAGTGAAATACCATCTTCTGCAGCATCCATGGCAGTTGTAGAGACGAAGAGTGCCACTCCAAAAGACGCGCAGCCCAGTAGTGTCTGATGTTTTCTTAAAAATGCACTCCTTAAAAATAAACAGAGGAGCAGAGATCAGAACGAGGTGAACCAAAATGAAACATTAGAGATAAACAATGACATGATCGTCCAGAAAAACGGACCTGAAAACCGTGGATTTCACTCACTGTAGCACAAAGAAATCAACACACTCGTATTTTCACAATGAAAAGAGGAAGGGAATTGTTTTAACTCCTCTGACTTTTCACTTGGCTTTAGCTATGCTACTGACTGTAATATCTTTATACCCTCAACTGTGCATAGCGTGCCTGCGATGCTATCGACGTCATAGGGGCAAACCGTGGGAACAAGTTATAGTTACCATGGCGGGTGTACTCAAATTCAGACCAGAAGATATAGGTGTATCCTATAAAATTAATAAGTAATGTCATTCGAATTTTTTCTTGCATTCCGTATCATCCCATGAGTAAATAGTTAAATATCAGATACACCCATTTTTTTTCTCCAAATGGTGTAATAACCAGTAAGATTTACACTTCGCTCGAATCTCAAAGCTAGACCTTTAAGTATCAGTAATTTTTAATTTACGCCGGATTTTTTTATTTAATCTAGAACAACAAACTCATGCAGTTGTTACCTTGATCAATCCAGAGTCTCTGCCATTGTTCAGATTCTTAAAAACGCACTGTTTCCAATTACGACCAAAGGATCCTGGATCACCCTTGGGACCTGAGGGACCTTGACTTCCACGAGCACCTGTATCACCCTTGTTTCCAGGGGACCCAGCTGAACCTGAGGATCCTTGAGGTCCTTTGGGACCAGGGGGACCTTGCTTTCCACGAGCACCTGTATCACCCTTGTTTCCAGGAGAACCATCTGAACCTGCTTCACCTTTGTCCCCACGTGGACCTGCTGGGCCTGCAGGTCCTTTAACTCCTTTGCTGCCTGGTGGTCCCTGTCTTCCACGGTCTCCTTCATCGCCTTTCTTTCCCCGTGGGCCCATGGGTCCTTCAAGTCCATGATTGCCGGGTGATCCCGCGGTACCTGCTGGTCCCGCGGGTCCAGGGCTTCCTGGGATGCCGGGAATTCCTGGTGCACAGAAACACCCACCAAGACCACAGGAACCATAAGGTGAAGTCGGTTGAGGAATACTCTAAACAAAAAATTTAAAAATTTATTCCGTTTTAATTCATGATCAGTCGATTAAGTCCATCAATCAACGTCAGTCAAGCACCCTTACATAACAAAAATCACTTATTCATTCTACCTCACTGGGTTCTTTCAGGTTAATAGTTCAGGTACCATTGACTGACTGTCACTTCTCATATATTACAGCTATTTATTACAATGTTTGATTAAACAAACTCACCTTGTCACGTGGTTTGCTGCTGTTGTTGTCATTTGCAGAACACAAGGTAATCAGCAGTAAGAGCAGCCCGCATAACACAGTAGCCAGCGGTATCTTCATAAAGGTTTGCATGGTGAGGAAACCTGTGAAAACAGGAAAACCCTCAAAATTATGGCCGTATATTCTTTCAAAAGGCATCGGTTTCAATGATTTCCTCAGTGATTTTGTTGCAAATAGTTATGGCGAGTCTTGGGACTCAGCTTCTGAAAAGTCATGAGTCCAGAACCAACGAGTCGCAGTTAAAGAAACGAATCCGAAATTGAAAATGCTTGGGCCTTTATGTAACCACACAGTTAATCTGAAGACAGACTCCAAAACTCTGTATTAGAGTATACTGAAATTAAAATGTACTCCTTATTTATTTTAAGGTACAACAAACGCTAAAAGAAATATTCATCGTTAAACAACAGCTATAATACTGAACTGCATTCCGCAGAAATTACACGGACTGGATATTTCTACAAATACACATGTTCAGATCGATCGATCGTTCTTTGCGTCCTACGGGACGCATGCCATGAATTATTTTGCGTCTTTGTGGATTTTTATGCGTCAGGGACGCATGACGCAGAGGTAACAAAATCTCTGTTTGCTAACATTTTTTCTTTCAAAATGCGGATAACAAGCAACGCGAATTGATGATCTGTGGCGAAGTTACTATGATTTATTTTGGAGAGAAAGAAAAAGTCAGTTTCATTCATCAATTTCAGGTCAACTTTTAGCATTACTTGAGAACATTACCATGTCTTTGTAATTACATGTCGGACTTCCACGGACGCTTAAAACTCTTCGACATTTCGTTGAAACGCTCGCTTAAGATTTTAGCGCTTATGATAGAACGTTAGCGACTGCTAAGTAATATTTAAACAACAAAACAGGGCTAGTAGCAATAAGCCTTACATTTAATATTTCGTGAAAAGAAACAGTTCAAATTGAAACCAGACGGAAAAGAACTTCAAGCAGTCGTTTAATTAAACTGAGTATTTTCGTTTGATATAAAAGATTGTTGGAAACATTCACTCAAGACCTACCTTGCTTGTATGAACGCGGACTGTAGGGATCCCAAGACGAATGATAATTTTTTTGACAGTACGAAGGTTTTTATGCCCTAGTTCGACCAAGTTTACGTAAAAACGTGTTTTGGACAAGTTTGAAAGATTGTTAAATGTAAGTTACTAGAAGTATTCCTATTGGTTACATGTAAATCAGTCGGTCTTAATTGACCAATTGAAAGACGTCATGCACTCCTTTTGTTTTATTTAAGTTGCAAGTTAAAACGAGTTGGAAGGCTTCATGACGTTAAGCAATTATTTTGAAAACCGGCCAATGATAAGCACTGTTTAAAACTTCCTTTAAGATACAAGTTAAACCAAGTTTGAAGGGCACTGAAGTGTTAATTTGACGAATGAAGACAATCATTCATGTTTTCTGCACATGTAATTCTAGGAAAATTTTGCATGCGACACATTTGCCATACTCAAAATATTTATCAGTGTAACTTTTCCAAAGACGCTTTAGAGGCTATTCAGCAAAAACCAACGACTAAGAAACCGCATTTCCCAAGTTAGCCTAAACAAGTTTTTACATAAATGATAACTAGCACAAATTTAGGCTATTTACGTTCTTAAATAGGTTCTTCTGATGTTCTGAAAGAAAAAATACATTGTAGCCAGGAGTATTTAATTGTATTCAACTCATTTCTTACATAAAACCACTGCATAGCAGTTGGATGTCTCCAAACGAGACTCCTGAATGTTGACCTTTTTATTTTCCAAATGTTCAAGATGTTTTTAAAACACTATTTTTAAATAAGAACCTAGCTGTTTCAAATTTTAGGCTAAACAGGTTCTTGCCTTACTGGCCCAGGCTGTGAACTTCCTGAACGATATCCTCATTTCTTTCTCTTTTTATTTTTAATCTTACCTCTGACAATTTTGACTCCTTGAATTGAAGTAGCTCAGTCAATTCTGAAGAACGCCCTTTAGATTTTTGGCACAACTAAAACGAACTACTGCAACGCTTTTTTGATAGACTGAACATCATATCTTGACTGATTAACATGCACGTTTGTTGGCTTGAAAACACTTATTGATATGAAAATCCGAAAAAAATTCTCTCCAAAGTGTGCAAGCACTGTTCAAGTGAAAAATTTTTTAACTGAATTCACTCTTGAGAGTAGCGCTTTTAAATACAACGAGAGGCTAACTTATTATCAGATTGCGAGAGGCTTAGTTTTGGGAGGATTAATCAGTCTAAAATATTCGCCTTTTGACGAGTTTATTTCTAAAAAATTTTCTAAAAAAGTCGACGGAGCTGTTTTTTCAAAACGTCACACCAACACATTTTATTACGAGTCATTCAACTTACCTCTAAGATTTCCAGTTGCACCGCCGTTGAGACTGCAAAGTAAGAGAAAATAGGAAAATTCTGATTGATACCCAGGCGATTCTTGGAATTTTCGAAGGTACCTAAAATGTAACTTTTAAAGAATCCACGGCTAAGTAAAAATATACAAACCTACTCTGTTTTTGTTTTTAAGTCTTAATTCTTGTCTTGTCTTCGTTTTCCCGACTATTTTGTGATATTCATGAATCATCATTCTATGCTCGCAGGAACAGGTTAAGAGGACATTGTACCTATGATCCAACGAGCAATGCTATTGGCTGTACTGTTTTTTGTCAGTCAGTGATTGATCCAATAAAATGGCATCTTTTACTGCGAGCCACGGCATACATGAAGGGTAATCATGGATCTATTGCCTCGGACTTGGAAAAAAGAGAAGAAAACTGGAGTCCCTGTTTTTGTAATATTTAGTTTCTTAATTAACACTGATACTGCACTCTCGTGGTCTCTTTACGACCGGAGGACGAATTCTTCAGGAGATTATTAATATCTTTCTGAATTTTCATATGGCGTCAACAATCCAGAATTGGTTTGAGTCGCAAATTAATGGGTGAAAACACTTTTCATACCGACTATGTGAAAACGAAATGAAAGGTGCGAAAGTCGTGGAACTTCTAAGACTTCTAAATCTTATTACACGTTCGCTCTCACTCAAGATCTGCTTCATAAGTCACACGTAACCGAAATCTCTCTTTAACAACCCATCTACTGAAGATTTTTTGAGCTCGATGATATATGTTTGCTGGTCTTATTTTCTGGACGATTTTTCTTTTAATATTTCTTTAGATTCTGACCCGTTTATTTTTCGTCTTACTTGCTTGCGTACCTCTTCTTGGTTAATAACGCATATGTATTGGGATGATGGTTTGAGTAAACTAACTGAGGGAAAAAGACTGCGAAAATGTATAGATTTTATGACGCCTGGCTCTTTTTGTATCGATCGATCACTTTAATTTCTAGTCCCGATCAGAGAGATTCTTTGTCGCCATACGTCGAGTTTTGGAAACTGGGTTATATTTAATAGTTCAGTTTTTAATGACACTTTTCAGTGTTTTATTTCTATTTTTTTTTTTGCTTGGACACATGATCAACTTCTTGATTGATATGTGCTATGAAATTGTACATTTTTGTATTCCGAAATTTAAAATTGAGAGTGTCAAATCGAAATGATATTGAAAGGAATCAGCAACTGATGCGAATGCGGTTTCTCACGGGCACCCAATGGACGGTTTCCTCCTACATTGATAACACTTTTTAGGCAATCCAGAGTACTTTTAGATGTCTAGAAATGCATTCTGAGTGGCGCTATTAAATTTGAATCTGTTCGGTCACCCTAGGGGAACTTGCGTATTTTCGAAATTACAGGGGATTAAGTATTAATTTCCCGAAAATCTTAGATGCAGTTTGACGTATTACGAAAGTGAGACGTTTTCTGATTTCTCAGGCTCCCCTTTGAATTTTTGAATCCGAAAATTTTAGGTTTCCTTTTCTCCACGAAAAATGGCATAACTTTGGAAGTGAAATGTGAACATTAAACTTTAGAAAATCGTAGGGAATATATTAGATAAGTTTCGAAAATTATATATGAATGGAACGGTCATCTAGAAAGTGTCAGCCGTCCTCAAGTAATAGAAAATTCTGGGCAATATTTGTTTCTCCGAACAGATAATTCACAGAAAACTGTCGACAGGTGCTCCTGGTTTCTATGCGATTGCATTGAGAAATTTGTAGTAAAACTAGAAAACGACTGACATTTTAGCCTTCCGTCCAAGTTTTAACATGATAAAACTATTGAATACATACCCTCCAGAAATCCATTTATCAAGGTTTCGTCTTCTAGGAGACAATTTATGGGCCAACCGTGAGCTGAGAGGAATGAACCTATTATGCAACTTCTTGTTGAGCGAAACAAGGATTCTTTCAAGCCATCTTGCTTTACTGTTGTTCAGAGCGATCGGTAAAGTACAATAGAATCACGATTCTCGAACTCTCGGTGTCTTGAAATTCCCCATATTTTGAAGCAAACCTAGCTTCCCTTCACCAGCCAAACACTGTTTACCACCGTTCCTCAAAATGCCGATAACTGGAACAAATTTGCTTTCCCATGCAGGGTGGTTTGAAAAATCGCGATTCCAGTGTAGAGAAATTTCCACTTTGTTTTCTTTGCATGTATAAATAAAAAAAGAGAGAGGTTCCAGAAGAGTAATTGGGCTAGGGAAGGGAGGGTGGGGCGGTGAGAAGCAAAGGTGGGGTAACGGGTGGGGAAGGTGATGAGGGAATTTTTGTTTCCTTTGTTCGATTTCTGTGTTATAGAAGCTTTATTATATAATGAAGAATGCAATTCTGAGAGAATTCCAAGTTTTACGACTACGCCTGAACTGGATTGTACATAGTATATTTGGATTATTCAATAATTTATGTGTTTTCTTTTTCTGACGCCAGTGAAATGTGCTCTTCTACGCATTCAATCCTCAGTTACGGCAACTTTGTTTTCTGTTAGCGCGAAACACAAGTTCAAGTAACTTAAAAACGATACTAACAATTTCAAACAGGACCCTTTCTTAAACTTTAAACCAGCCAGTATACTTGTGTAATAAATTGTCGTCACTGCCTGTCACGAGTGCTTTAGTGCATGGGTCTATAGTATTCTCAATGTAAACATGGCCAGTTCTTCACTTAAAGCCGTCTAAAAAAAATTCAAAACGCGATGCTGTGTTCAGTCTTCCTCTTTAGTGAGTTTTGAAAATGTCATCTTCTAAGATAGTCACGGATACAAGGCATAACATGAATGAGTCGCGAGGTAGTTGAGCCCGGCTTTGTACGAAGTTTTCGCATTTTACTAAAACATTTACTCAAAAAATCGGATGCGGAAATCATTGTCATGGTCTGTTTGTTTGAAAATTGAGCGTGTTACTTGTTTACTTTGAAGTACTGATGTAAAATTTGCATTCTAGTAACATACACTGTAGGCAATACGTTGCATAATAAATAGCACCTTTCGACTACGTACTAGAAAAATGAAACTGTCTTGGCGGAAATATTTCTCTTGCCTACAGGATGTCTGCTTCTATCTTTGATACTAAAGTGTGGACCTCTTTCAGGGGCACCCAACGACAATCTTCGGAAGAATATCTGTTCGGAAGACGATTTGAGATCTAGAATTTTCTAAACATTTGTTGTAAAATTTCTTGCTTGCTCGTCTCTCCTAGGATTTTCGAACATCTAAAAAATGGTATAATTGCATATTTTTAACGGATTTTTACCCTAAAAAGGTCACCTAGAATTTTCGGGAGCCTTTTTTCTGGCTGAAATTTTCGAAAAGGTAAGTTTTGATCCCTACAAGACTGTTCTTTCAATTTGAAAAATTCAATTGAAATCTTGAGCTTTGTCATAATATAGGACCCTACTCTATTGACCATTAACCGAAACTGATATCCAGTTCCTCCATCTTAAAAAAATCCATGTAAGTCATAAACGTCTGAATCAAGCATGAATTTGTAAAAATATAGTTCCCCAGTTATAATATTAACAGTGAAATTTTTAATGATTTATAATTACAAAGAAACTTCGCTGACAATTAGCTCAATTGTATTGATTGTATGATCGATACTTGTGATCAGATACTGTCAAAGGAGTCGAGACTAGAAGCTACTAGAAACGAAATGAACCTTAGGTGTTTATGTACGGTAGTAAATTAGGTAAAAAAAACTGATTTCCCCTAATTTTGGTTCAACTCGTATTTCCTCGCGATCTTACACTTAGGCATTCCACGGCTTGGAGCGTGTTTCAAATGTAGTCAGCTACTGCCTTCCCGAAGTCAGTCGCGCTACTCACGCCCAGGAAGGAATACAGTTGACTCCCGATAACTCGAACCTCGCGCTATCTTGAACCAAAATCGATTCCCCCTGGATTTTCGTCATACATTTACTGTAATTTTACCCTCGGAAACTCGAATCTCCCGCTAACTCGAAGGAGTTTTTGTTTCCCCTCAGATCATTTCTATGTAATTTTACCCTCGATAACTCGAACCATGTTTTGATCCCTTAAAACCTTAAAAAGTCGGGGAAAACTGGCGTCCGAAATATTGAATTTTGAATTTCCCATTGACGTGTTGTAGGCATATTATAGTTTACTAGTGGAGGCTGGTGTTGTTTGTCACAAATCTTACGAGAAACAGCTTTACTTCTCAAAACAGTACAACGCATTCTCTAATTAGGCTATTTGTTACGTTAAATTCTGATTTATAATCATGAAGAATCTTTTAATTTTCACTTGACATTTCTACAAGTAAACGTGATTAAAATGGTTACTGTGCCGTAAAAACTGTTCCTTTCCTTACTCCCGGCTATTTTCTTCGAGCTCCCGATAACTCGAACGTTTCCCGATTTCCCTTGAAGGTTCGAGTTATCGGGAGTCCACTGTAAGGAGAAAGAAGTTATTGCCAACGAACAGCGTCGCGAAGACGCGAGGATGCGAGGTGACAGCCTAATAAAGCCGGTGTGCGAAAGTTTCAAGGCAGAATGAATCTCGAATCGATGTAATTTTTTAGTAATTGTTTGTATGCCTGATTCCCATATAAAAATGATGGTCATGCTCGTCGTCACTTTTAGCAGTAGAAATTTTGGTCTGACTTATGGTGTTCAGAAAGGAAAGCGATTATTCTTAACCCATAAAAAATTGCTGAGGGTTGTGCATAAAGATTAAGCTAAATAAAAGTAGCAAATGCCGTCATTGTGTTGGAGTATTGGGGTCAAATCCTGACTCGTCCCCAGTTCTCTCAGTCTCCTATTAATATTAACGAGAGAAGCGCGGTAAAGGGAAGTGCGGGGGATGATGGGAAGGAGGAAAGATACTTCATTTCCGCTTTCACCATCCCATCGTCCCCTTCGCACCAGTGTCTAATAGTCTCCCGCAACCGTTCCTTGACCGCTCACAAAATAATAAGAGACGACTGGGGACGAGTCAGTGGTGAAATCAAGCTGGAGCCACACCCAATTGAAGGGCTTAATTCCAATTTTCCAACTTACGGGCACGGTTTTTTTGATACGACAATTCCCTCCCCGGAAATCTATCTTTCTGTATCTACAGAGATATTCAGCTCTACTTTTCAAATTAAACGAAACAGCTTTCTTCTTCGGAAAGAAGTGCTGTTGTTATGTAAATCTTACTCTTAATCTCACAGTATCATCCTGGCTCAGAATTAAAACAATAGGTAGAGGCTGCTGACTGCTTTTACAATTCAAATGCAAGAACGCCAGCTAGTTGAAATACTCACTGCAACTAAGGTGCTGTTTATTTATCTCGAATCCATCAAACAATTTTTTAGGTAATAACTGGTCAAAAGGTGTCCCCTGATTTCTCTTTATCTAAATAATGTTCCCTTCAGCCGCCCACATGACTAGTCCTTTTAGGACCCACCCTGCCCCGCCTCATGCCTGCCGCCAGACTTATTATAAAGAAAGAATACAATGATTTTTTTCTATTTAGACATCCTGCAATAACGTTTTCGATAGAAAACCAATATATGCGTGCGCAAGAACACCAAATGCTTTGGTCAAAAGACGTTGTTGATTGAATTGTACTTTCGGTGGTATGTCAGTCACATAACTCTCCGGTAAATTTACTTTGTAGCACAACGGACGCCGAGCTAAACAACCTGGTTTGATGCATGCACCAGAGTAGCACACATTTTCCAAAGAAATATATGAAGGCTTAATCCAAAGTAAAATTTTACTCAGGGTCAAGAGCCATAATAGGACCAACTATGGCTCTTGTCGGGGTGTAAATTTTCAGCACACTTTTGAAAGATGAACGCTTTGGAAGATTCATTAAACACAGATCGATAGTAGACCTTCAGCAAACTCAAAATATGTACGCTTTACGAAGATTCAGCACACTTTTAAAAGATGAACGATTTACGAAGACAGAAAAGCAGACCTCAGCAAACGTTTGAAAGATGAACGCCCGAGGACACACGAATCACCGCGTGAGTTAGCGCGTCAAAATGAGGCAAAACGCGAGCAAGCGCCTCAAAGCGAGGCAATCGCCATCGACTCGACCGCTCAATTTTGGCCGCAAACAACAGGAAAAAAATCCTCTGGCACCCAGGGAAACCAAGATTATTATTGTTAAAAAAGGGTCTCCTAAATATTTCGGTAAAAATTCAAAACGTTCCGTAGAATCTTCTATTTAAGGTGCCGCTACTCCATGTTCTGGAACTTTCGACCGGGCCCATCAGGGTAGCTAACAGTTTCAGATGAGATTACCCAACTAAAACTTTCGAGACGACCAGAGTTTACCAAAGAAATCCGAACAGATAAATAGTATCTAGGGCAGTTACAAATTTACCACACAGGCTTCTAAAACATTCGGTCGTTGGGTGCCTCGATTCTAACGGTACCATCAGCTGAAAATATATCATTTGCTCTGACTTTAATGTTGACTTCAGTTCATTAATTTGTAGAAATATAAGCGCAGGAAAAAAGCATTGAATGATAAATTAAAGAATCAGAAAAAAGGCGGAAATAATGGGCGCAAGAAAGAACGGACTCTTTCGCTTGTCCGTTCTTTCTTGCGCTCATTTAATACTTACAAGCGCCTGCAACACAGTCAAAGGTCCCGAAGGGTAGTATAAAATTCAGAATGCACGCTATTTATTTTATGTTAAAGCCCATTTATTTAGTAATATAAAAAAGTTGCTCTAACATTGTTGTCACCTTGTGACAATAGTGAACATAATGTAAGCTCTAAATCCTACAACTTTCAAACAGATTTTCTGCGCAAACCTAAACTCCTGTCTCTGATAATCAAAATTTACTTCAGTTTGCTTACTGATTACCCCCGAAATATTACTCTGTTCATGATCATCTTTGAAAGTGAAAGAGAAACTCTGACCGTGCTGCTATTAAGCCTGTAGCGGAGGTAATTCTTCCACATAGATCCGGGATACTGAGTTCCAGCCTGTCTGAGCATCAGCAGATCCGTAACCAGCACAATTGCCGACCCAGAATCCCACGCGAACAGTACCTTTGTGGATTTTCTCACAGACTCCTTCAATGTGACGTACACGGTGCAAATTCTTTTTGCCGCTGTTTCCATATATCATGTAGACTATACCGTCAATGGCTGCTGGTGCTGAACACTCAGCACCGTTGAAAGTGAAATACCACCGTCTGCAGCAATGATGGCAGTTAGCGAGACGAAGATTTCCATTCCAGAAGACACGCAGTCCAGTGCTATCTGATGTTTTCTTGAAAATACAATCCTTTAAAATCGACAGAAGAAGAAAGATCTTAACTAGGTGAACCGAAATTAAACATGTGCGTTTAATTGATTCATGACAGTCAGGAAAAACCGACCCGAAAGCCGTGTATATCACTCGCTGTATCAGTAAGAAATTTCTCCCTGGAAACATTTTAACCATGGATCAACGAGCAAACTCATTTTTGCAAAGAGGATTGCTTGAACTCCTCTCACTCTTTACTGGGCTAGAGCTGCTTATTCTACTTTTGTAATGATTTTACCCTTAACTGTACTAGATAGCTTGGACCGTGGGAACAATTAAGTAGTATAGTCGGCCATGACGTATTTCACTCAAATTCAGACCAAAAGATATACATATATCTGAAACTGATCTGGTTTTTGGACCTTTTTCCTGCATTTTGTAGCATTCCGTGAATAGTATAGTTCGCACAAGTTTAGAAACACGCATCTTTTTCCCAAAGAACTTAACCAATGAGCGTTACACGTAATAAGGCAAATTTCAAAGTCAGACTTATTAGTTTGCTTTGGCTTGATTTATAAAAGCTAGCACAACCAACTCAGTCGTTACCTTTATCAATCCGGAGTCCCTGTCATCGTACATTTTCTTAAAAACGCATTGTTTCCAATTACGAGCAAACGATCCTCGAGCACCCTTGGGACCTGGGGGACCTTGACTTCCACGAGCACCTGTATCACCCTTGTTTCCAGGGGAACCAAAGGAACCTGAGGGTCCTTGAGGTCCCTTGAGGCCAGGAAGACCTTGCTTCCCACGAGCACCTGTATCACCCTTGTTTCCAGGGGAACCAGCTGAACCTGTGGGTCCTTGAGGTCCCTTGGGGCCAGGGGGACCTTGACTTCCACGAGCACCTGTATCACCCTTGTTTCCAGGGGAACCAGCTGAACCTGCTTCACCTTTGTCCCCATGTGGACCTTCTGGGCCTGCAGGTCCTTTAACGCCTTTGACGCCTGATGGTCCCGGTTTTCCACGAGCTCCTTCATCACCTTTGTTTCCTCGTGGGCCCATGGGTCCTTCAGGCCCATGATTACCGGGTGATCCCGCGACACCTGCTGGTCCGGCGGGTCCAGGGCTCCCGGGGATGCCTGGAATTCCTGGTGCACAGAAACACCCACCATTACCACACGAACCTTAAGGTGAAGTCTGTTGAGGAATACTCCAAATGAAAAATGTAAAAATTCATTCCGTTATAAATTCATGATCAATTGATTAAGTCAATCAATCAACCTCAGTCAAGCATCCTTAAATAAAAAAATCACCGTTCATTCATTCTACCTACCATTGACTGACTTTCACTTCTCATATATTAAAGCTATATATTACAATGCTTGCCAGTAAACAAACTCACCTTGTCACGTGGTCTGCTGCTGTTGTTGTCATTTGCAGAACACAAGTTAATCAGCAGTAAGAGCAGCCCGCATAACACAGTAACCAGCGGTATCTTCATAGAGGTTTGCATGATGAGGAAACCTGTGAAAACAGAAGAAGCCTATAATAAATATAATAAAATATAATAAAATATTTATATAGCGCTTATACTTTTCAGTTCTAAGCGCTCTAAGCCTCAAAATCATGGCCAAATAATAAAGGCATCGCTTTCAATGATTTGCTAACATTTTTGTTCAAAATGCAGGTAACAAGCAACGCAAATTGATGATCTGTGGCGAAGTTACTATGATTTGTTTAGGGGAGAAAAAAAATCAGTTTCATTCATCAATTTCAGGCACGCTTTTAGCATTACTTGAGAACATTATACCATGTCTTTGCAATTATCTGTCGGACTTCCACGGACGCTTAAAACTCTTCGACATTTCGTTGAAACGCTCGCTTATGATTTTAGCGCTTATGATAGAACGTTAGCGACACACACACACACAACAAAACAGGGCTAGTAGCAGTAAGCCTTACATTTAATATTTCGTGAAAAGAAACAGTTCAAATTGAAACCAGACTGAAAAGAACTCCAAGCAATCGTTTAATTAAACGAGTATTTTAGTTTGATTTGAAAGATTGTTGGAAACGTTGACTCAAGTCTTACCTTGCTTCTATGAACGACTGTAGTGATCCCAAGACGAACGATAAATTTTTTGACATTACCAAGGATGTTATGTCCTATTTTGACCAATTTTACATAAAAACGTGTTTTAGACAAGTTTGAAAGATTGTTAAATGTAAGTTACTAGAAGTATTCCTATTGGTTACATGTAAATCAGTCGGTCTTAATTGACCAATTGAAAGACGTCATGCACTCCTTTTGTTTTATTTAAGTGGCAAGTTAAAACGAGTTGGAAGGCTCCATGACGTTAAGCAATTATTTTGAAAACCGGCCAATGATAAGAACTGTTTTAAACGTCCTTTGAGATACAAGTTGAACCAAGTTTGAAGGGCACTGATGTGTTAATTTGACGAATGAAGACAATCATTCATGTTCTCTGCACATGTAATTTTTGGACAATTTTGCGTGCGACAGATTTGCCATTCAAAATCTTTATCAGTGTAACTTTATAGGCTATTCAGTAAAAACCTGCGACTAAGAAGCTACATTTTCCCAAATTAGCCAAAACAGGTTTACATAAATGGTAATTAGCACAAATTTAGGCGATTTCTGTTCTTAAATAGGTTCTTCTGATTTTCTGAAAGAAAAAATACATTGTAGCTAAGAGTATTTAGTTGTGTTCAGCTTATTCTTACATAAAATCACTGCATACCAATACATTCCAGTTGGATTGATAAGGCACCTATGTCTCCAAACGGGATCCTGCAGAATGTTGACTTTTTTATTTTCCAAGTGTACAAAATGTTTTTAAAACAGTATTTTTAAATAAGGATCTGTTTCAAATTTTAGGCTAAACAGGTTCTTGTCTAATTGGCCCAGGCAGTGAACTTCCCGAAAGATATCCTCGTTTCTTCCTCTTTTTTTAAATCTTACTTCTGACAATTTTGACTCCTTGAAGAAGCTCAGTCAATTCTGAAAAATACCCTTTAGATTTTTGGCACAACTGATGTATTGACTGATTAACATGCACAGTAGTTAGCTTTAAAACATACGGAAAATCAGAAGAAAAAAAATTCTCTGTAAAGTGTGCAAGCCCTTTTCAAGTCGAGAATTTTTAACTGAATTCACTCTCGAGAGTGACGCTAATACAGCGAGAGCCTAAATTATTATCAGACCGCGAGAGGCTTAATTTTTGGAGGATTTATCAGTTTTAGAAGAACGCGATTCCTAAATGTTCGTCTTTTAGCGAGTTTATTTCTAAAACATTTTCTAAAAAAAGTCGACTGAGATGTTTTTCAAAACCTCCACTGACACGGTTTATCATGAGACATTTAACTTACCTCTAAGTTTTCCAGTTGTACCACAGTTGTGACTGACTGAGAGTCAGGGAAAATAGGAAAATTGTGATTAATACAGAGGAACTTTAAAAGAATCCACGGTGAAGTAAAAATATACAAACCTACTCTGTTTTGGTTTTTAAGTCTTAATTCTTGTCTTGTCTTCGTTTTCCCGACTATTTTGTGATATTCATGAATCATCATTCTATGCTCGTAGGAACAAGTTAAGAGGACATTGTACCAATGTTCCAACGAGCAATGCTATTGGCTCTACTGTTTGTTTTGTCAGTCGGTGATTCATCCAATGAAATGGCATCTTTTACTGTGAGCCACAGCATACATGTAAGGTAATCATGGATCTATTACTTCCGGCTTGCAAAAAAAGAAGAAAATTTAAGAGTCTGTTTTTTATTTAGTGAATTAGTTTCTTATTTAACATTGATACTGTACTAGTAGTTGTCTCTTTACGACCAAAATCTTTAGGAGATTATTAAACGGAATATCTTTCTCAATTTTCATATGGCGTCACCAATTCAGAATTGGTTTGAGTCGCAAATTATTGAGTAAAAACACTTCATAACTATATGTAAACGAAATTAAAGTCATGGAACTTTTAAATCTTATTACGCGTTCGCTCTCACTCAAGATCTGCTTCAAAAGTCACACATAACCGAAATCTCTCTGTATGAACCCATCTGTTGAAGATTTTTCGTGCTCGATGATATACATTTTCTGTCCTTTTATTGGACGATTTTTCTTTCAAACTGATTTCTTCAGATTCTGACCCGTTCATTTTTCATCTTACTCGGTGACGTAACCTTTTTTTGGTTAAGAACGCGTAAATTTTGGGATGATGGTTTGAGTAAAACTGAGTGGAAAATTGACTTGAACATGTATAGATTTTATGATGCCTGGCCATTTTGTATCGATCACAATTAATTTCTAGTCCAGATCAGAATTTCCCTGCCCGTACGTCGAGTTTTAAAAACTGGGCTGTATTTAATAGTTCTTTTTAACACCACTTTTATTTTCTTTCTATTTTGTCTTTGCTTGGACGCATGGTCAACTTCTTGATTTATACTTTTGAAATAGAAGAATGCTATTATATAAAATTGTACATTTTTGTATTCCGAGGCTTAAAATTAAAAATGTAAAATCGAAATGGCATTGAAAGGAATCATCAACAGATGCGAATGCGGTTTCTATGCGATTGCATTGAGAAATCTGTAGTAAAAGTAGAACAGAGCCGACATTTTAGCCTCCGTCGACGTTTTAACATGATAAAACTATTGAAATCATACCTTCCAGTGATCCAGTTATCAAGCTTTCGTCTTCTAAGATGGGGCAACCGTGTAGCCCTTGACAAAGGGACGACAAGGAATTAACCTACATGCAACTTCTTGTTGAGCGAGATAAGGATTCTTCAAGCCATCTCGCTTGTTGTTGTTCCGAGCGATCAGTAAAGTACAGTAAAATCCCAATTTCTTGAACTCTCGGTGTTTTGAAATTCCCGAAATTTCCCTTCACCAGTGAAACACTATAATTTTACCCCCGATCTTTAAGCGTCCCGATAATTCGAACAAATTTGCTTTGCCATGTGTTGTTGGAAAAATGGGGATTCCACCGTAAAAAGCCATTTCCACTTTGTTTTCTTTGTATGTATAATAATTTTCTCGTCAGACCACGTTTAAAACGTACAAAGAAGGAGAGGGTCCAGAAGAGTGATTTCGACTGGGCTAGGGAAGGGAGGGTTGGGCGGTGAGAAGCAAAAGTGGGGTAACGGGTGGGGAGGGTGATGTGGGAATTTTTCTTTGTTTATTCGATTTCTGTTTTATAAAAGTTTTATCATATGCTGAAGAATGCCATTCTGAGAGTCCAAATTTGACGACTAGGCCTGAACTGGATTGTACATTAGCATATTTGGATTATTCAAAATGTGTTTTCTGTTATTGACGCCCGTGAAATGCGCTCTTCTACGCATTTCTCCTCAGTTACCGCAACTTTGTTTTCTCTTAACACGAAACACAAGTTCACGTAACTAATTAAAAACGATACTGACAATTTCAAACAGGGCCCCTTGTTTAACTTTAGACCAGTCAGTGTACTTAGGCAATGAATTGTCGTCTCTGCCTGTCACGAGTAAGCTGACGAGTGCTTCAGTGGGTCTATAGTATTCTCAATGTAAACGTAACCGGAGTTCTCGACTTAAATTAAAGCTGTCTAAAAAAATTCAAAACGCAATGCTGTACATGTGTTCAACGTCTTGCCCTTTACTGAGTTTTGAAAATTTCATCTTCTGAGATGGTCACGGATACAAGGCATGACTACAAAGTTTTCGCATTACACGCTAAAAAAATTACTCAATAAATCGGATGCGGAAGTCATTGTCATGGTCTGTTTGTTTGAAAATTGAGCGTGTTGCTTGTTTACTTTGAAGATCTTTGAAATACTGATGTAAAATTTGCATTCTAGTAACATACACTTAGGCAATACGTGATACGTTGCATAATAAATGGCACCTTTTGTCTGCTAGAAAAATAAAACTGTCTTATCGGAAATATTTCTCTTGCATACAGGATGTCTTCTCCCATCTTTGATACTAAAGCGTGGACCTCTGTTAGCCGACCAGGGCAGGTCTGGTCCCCGGGGGGGGCACTTGGGTATTTTTTGGGTGGGTATGTGCCGCCCGGGACTCCAAATTGGCACCCCGTTCTAGAAAAATTTTCCCCTAAAATTGATACCCCGTTGTAGAAATGGGCCAATTTTTTATACCCCGTTCTAGAATTCGCCCTAAAACTGGTACCCCGTTCTAGAAATGGGCCAATTTTTTATACTCTGTTCTAGGATGCAACAAGAGTACAACGGTTTGCTTGTTAACGCATTGAACCGTATTTTTAAAAGCAATCTGTCCTTGAACACTTTCAAATGGCTGCTTACAAAAGTGGAGCTTTCGGGCGTTCGAAATATTATACCCCGTTCTAGAAAACGCCTCTGAAATGGATACCCCGTTCTAAATCAGGAGCTTCAAAATCACGACCCGGTTGGGAGGCACATACCCGTATAGGTAATGTATGGGAGTACCCCCCCGGGGTCTGGACCAGTGCTTAAAATAAAGACTGTAGTTTCAATTTGAAAAATTCAATTAAAATAGCGTTGTTTTAATATAGGACCCTACTCTATTGACCATAAAACCGCCGAAACTGATATCCAATTCCTCCATCTAAAAAAATCCATGTAACTCTTACACGTCTGATGCAAGCAGGAGTCTGAGTGCAATGATTTAATTTGTAAAAGTTCCATAATAATCATTAACAGTGAAATTTTTAATGATTCACAACGAAACTTCGCTGACAATTAGCTCAATTGTATTGACTGTGTTATCGATACTTGTACTCAGACATTGTCAAAGGAGTCGAAACTAGAAGTTACTCAAACGAAATGAACCTTAGGTGTTTGTGTACGGCAGTAAATCAGGTTTAAAAAAACTGATTTCCTTTAATTTCGGTTCAATTCGTATTGCCTCGTGATCTTACACTTACTAGGCATTCCTCAGCTCAGTAGAGCGCGTTTCAAATGTTGTCAGCCACTGCCTTAATTGCCTGCCTTGCCGAACTCAGTCGCGGGCAGAACAGAATATGTAGAAATAAGTTATTTTAAAAGTTTACTGAACCGGTTTTTTTTTTTCGATTCGACAACAGCTACTTCATGCTGAAGTGTTGCGCTTTATAGAGTCGTTATAATAGTACGGTCATGCCAGCTTAGCAGGGAGGAGGCAAAGCGGTTTGAAATGGACTTGCACAATTTCACTTTGTCTAATGTATGCAGGATGTTCGAGGCACAGAAATTCTGATATAAAGGATGAACAAAAACTTTTTTTCTGGGTGTACTTATATTGAGGGACCAATAAAACGCAGCCCTTTGAGTCCAGTACCTTTCAGAGAGGGCTCTCGGGACACTAGGAAATGTCGCCACCCGGAAATATTTCTGGTTATAGTTTGGCTGCTCTTAATAGTTCTTGCCTGAAAAAGTCCTTGATCGACTATCTATTTGTATGGAGTATTATCTCTCGCGTAAATCTAAAGGCTAATCTAATGAGCTGTCTACCCTCTACAGGAACTCGAGAAAGGCTAAAATTTTCTGGATAAAAGTAACATTCCTCCATACGATTTTTTTAATCTGGAAGTTTGCGTTTTTCAGATTTTATTACCAAGATATTCCGCATTACGCGCGCTTGTTGTTTGAAGAGGTCTTCCAAAGATTTCGGTAAAAATTCAAAACGTTCCGTAGAATCTTCTATGTCCTCAAACTTGCGATCGGACCTATCAGTGTAGCAAACAGTTTTAGATGAGACGAAAAACCAATCTAAAAGTTTCAAGACGATTTAAGTTCCCCTAAGACATCCGAAAAGGTAGATATAGTCAGCTGTATAGTATTTAGGGAACCTCCAAATTTACAAAATTAGGTCGGTCGTTGAGTGCCCCGTTTTTAGCACCATCAGCTGAAGATTAAACTATAATCGCTGCTGTCTTCTGTATACTTAATTGTAAAATATAAGCACAGAAAAATAATCTTAAATGATAACCAGAGAATCAGGAGGAAGATAACAAAGGGAAAATAAAGGTCGAGAAGGGTAGTAAATTCATATTGCACGCAATTTATTTTATTTTATTTTGAAGCCCTTATATTTATTGAGATAACAAAAAATCGCTCAAACATTGTTGTCACCTTGTAACATGTAATGTAAGCTTCTGCTCTTGAAACCCTGCACTTTCAAAAGAGATTTAATGCGGAAACCTAAACCCCTGGCTCTAATAACCAAAATTTACTTCAATTTGCTTAGTATACTGCTTACCCCCGAAATATAAGTCTGTTCATGATTATCTTTGAAACTGAAAGAAAAACTGTGGCTCTGCTGTTATTAAGCCTGTGGGGGAGGTACTTCTTCCACGTATATCCGGGACACTGAGTTCCAGCCTGTGTAAGCATCAGCAGATCCGTAACCAACACAATTGCCTACCCAGAATCCCACGCGAACAGTACCCTTGTGGATTTTCTCGCAGACTCCTTCGATGTGACGTGGACGGTGTAAGTCCTTTTTCGCGCCATTTCCATGTACCATGTAGACTACACCGTCAATAGCACCTGGTGTTGAACACTCTGCACCGTTGAAAGTGAAATACCATCGCCTGCAGCATGCATGACAGTTGTAGAGACGAAGATTGCCACTCCAGAAGACACGCAACCCAGTAGTGTCTGATGCTTTCTTAAAAGTGCACTCCTTAAAAATCAACAAAGGAAGAAAGATCAGCGAGGTGAACTGAAATTAAACATCAGAGACAAACAATTACATGATCGTGTACAAAAACTGATTTGAAAGCTTTGGGTTTCACTTGCGGTAACTGAGGAATTTCTCCGTGGAAACATGTTAACCATGGATTAATTAAAACCAGTAAACTCATATTTCCATCAGGAGTTGAAACAATTCCCCTTCACCATTCATCTGACTCCTCGCTGGGCTATATCTGTGATAGTGTTACTGTGCTTTTTTAACTAATTTCACCATCAATACTACGGTCGACCGTTGCGAATCAAGGGAGTAGCGTGACCATTTTGACAAGTAGGCATACGGGTCCATACGCTTTTAAAAACTTTAAACAAAATAACGTTTTTGCTTTTTTAATACATAATTATTTCGGCAGTTTACAGGCTTCTTTACAATTATAGAACGTGATATCAAAAAAAGCTTTTAAAACGTACTTCTTTGAGCTGGTACTGGAATGTTTACCAGCACACTAGGCGAGGCGCCTTTTGTGCAGAGATTTGGAGTTTAAAAGTATCGGTTGGAAGAATTGCGGTGTGTGCATGTTTGTGTAATTTTTCTGCACGCTTATTTCTTTGCTGACTTTTGAGTTTTCCCCTTATTTCGATCATGAGCACGGGAAAGGAACAAACAATAATAGTCAGCATTTACTTATTTTCAGTTGTACTGAATCTCTTGATGTTTGTCGTTGGAAAAAAAATACGACATCTGTTCGCCAGGAGTAAATTTCCTGCAAAATTTAGCTTTTGAATGGGAAAATTTTCCAGATAAATCTTGAAAGGAATAATAATCAGTAAGGGTCGATTTTTTCCGTTTCTTGAATGCGCAATGTATTGTGGGATCGCCAGAAGGCAGATACTCTAAGGATGTTTCGAATTTATCACATTCCACTACTCAAAGTGTTGTATTTTACGATGCCCAATAACAACGATACAGACAGCGACAAATATGCCCAATACAAAGTCAAGTCACAAAGCTACAAATGGCTTTTACGTACAACAGAAAATCTTTTCAAAAAATTCTTTTTGGCAATTAGCGGAAAGGACGCAACGACCCTGCGAATTTCACTCAAATTCAGACAAAAACTATACGTATATCTTAAACTGATAAATTGGACCTTTTCCCTGCATTTGTATCATTCCATGAACCGCTCGCACAAGTTCCGAAACACGGATTTTTTTTTTTCTCAAATGATTCACCTCGAGTTTTTAAACCTGAAAATACACGACTGCAAGTGTTTTTAACGGCTTCAAAATCTCTGATACAGATCAACTCATTCTTGCACTAATATTTAAATTTGGGGTTTAGCCTTGTCTTTATCAGATATAAAGACACTCATTAAACATTAGTTTCTTTTGTTTTGTCTTTATGAATTAATAATGAGTTTTTAAATCGGAAAGACCAACTCAATTGTTACCTTTATCAATCCAGAGTCCCTTCCATCGTTCAGATTCTTAAAAACGCACTGTTTCCAATCACGGCCAAACGATCCTGGAGCACCCTTGGGACCTGGGGGACCTTGACTTCCACGAGCACCTGTATCACCCTTGTTTCCAGGGGAACCAGCTGAACCTGTTTCACCTTTGTCCCCACGTGGACCTGCTGGGCCTGCAGGTCCTTTAACTCCTGGTGCTCCCTGTCTTCCACGGTCTCCTTCATCGCCTTTCTTTCCCCGTGGGCCCATGGGTCCTTCAGGTCCATGATTGCCAGGTGATCCCACAACACCTGCTGGTCCCGCGGGTCCAGGGCTTCCTGGGATGCCTGGAATTCCTGGTGCACAGAAACACCCACCATGACCACAGGAACCATAAGGTGAAGTCTGTCGCGGAATATTTAAAAATTCATTCCGTTATAAATTCATGATCAATTGATTAAGTCAATCAATTAACCTCAGTCAAGCATCCTTAAATAAAAAATCACCGTTCATTCGTTCTACCTCACTAAGTTCTTTCAGGTTAAATAGTTCAAGTAGGATCAACTGAACTTCACTTCTCATATATTAAAGCTATATATTACAATGTTTGTTTAAAAACACACCTTGTCATGTGTTTTGCTGCTGTTGTTGTCATTTGCAGAACACAAGGTAATCAGCAGTAAGAGCAGCCCGCATAACACAGTAGCCAGCGGTATCTTCATAAAGGTTTGCATGATGAGGAAACCTGTAAAAACAGGAAAACGCTCAAAATTATGGCCAAATATTCTTTAAAAAAACATCGCTTTCAATGATTTGCTAACAATTTTTTTTTCAAAATGCGGATAACAAGCAACGCGAATTGATGATCTGTGGCGAAGTTACTATGATTTGTTTTGGAGAGAAAAAAAATCAGTTTCATTTATCAATTTCAGGCTAGCTTTAAGCATTACTTGAGAACATTACCACGTCCTTGCAATTATATGTCTGACTTACACGGACGCTTAAAACTCTTCGACATTTCGTTGAAACGCTCGCTTAAGATTTTAGCGCTTATGATAGAACGTTAGCGAATGCTAAGCAATATTCAAACAAAAAAAACACACAACAAAACAAGGCTAGTAGCAGCCTTACATTTAATCTTTCGTGAAAAGAAACAGTTTAAATTGAAACCAGACTAAAAAGAACTCCACGCAAGCAATCGTTTAATAAAACTGAATTATTTTAGTTTGATACCTAAGATTGTTGGAAACATTGATCAAGACCTACCTTGCTTGTATGAACGACTGTAGTGATCCCAAGACGAATGATAAATTTTTGACATTACCAAGGATTTTATGTCATATTTTGACCAATTTTACTTAAAAACGTGTTTGAGACAAGTTTGAAAGATTGTTAAATGTAAGTTACTAGAAGTATTCCTATTGGTTACATGTAAATCAGTCAGTCTTAACTGACCCTCAACTGAAAGGAGTCATGCTCTCTTGTTTTATTTAAGTTGCAAGTTAAAACGAGTTGGAAGGCTCCATGACGTTAAGCAATTATTTTGATAATTATAACTATAACAAAATTGTCATTGGAATTCCTTGTGTTTTAATTTAAAAAATAGCATTATATCACAAATTTTGTTAAAGTTATGATTAATTGGTAACAGAACTTCGTGTCGTCCAATTCGGTCTGTAATCATACTCGTGATTAAACAAATCGGACTCCCGCTACGCAGTCGTCCGATTTTGTATGACTACAGACCGAATTGGACTCCACCCAGTCCTGTTACCATTACAAACCGGCTAATGATAAGAACTGTTTTAAACTTCCTTTGAGATACAAGTTGATAAAAAATAAGATCCCGCAACAAAATTATTAAACCAAAACATTTTTCCCGCTAAAATTTACTCCAGAGTATTGAATATACTCTGACTAAAATTTATTACACAAATATACAGTCCTAAGAAATCGTGTCTGTTCATTTACAACTCGCCTCTTCAATTCAGAAACAAAACAGTATACAATGAATTGGTTCTACATAGTGTACGCATACTGTAGTACTGTTTGAAAATCTCTATTTCTATTACACCATGATTGCTCTTACCAAGAGCCATACAAGAACGAAAATATTATCAATGCTGGGTACTGGGTAATTTTTGAAAATTAATTCTTAGCAAGAAAAACCAATGTGTCCCAGTATGGCGAATGCCGTACGGCCGTTCTTCACGATATCTCATAGCTCGCTTACACACTACACAAAATCGTGACTTTCTTGAATCTATAAGCTTTAGTTTTTAATCCAATCTGTCAGCAAGTTCTCTGTTGCTCTTTATGTTGATAATTTAATTAAATACTTCGAATGTTTAACCCCACAATCAGTAAAATCTGACAAACGAGGGAAACTATTTTGAAATAACAAAGTTTAGAAGGAATAAAATCACGCTACACTCTTGCTTCACAACACCTAGTCGCCAAAAATTATTTTCCGCGAAACAGAAAAAAATGCCCAATCCGCAAAAATTTAATTTCATGCCACACGGTACACCCACCTAGCTTGTTTTGTATCGACCATCAATTATTATTATAGTTATCATTTATTTATAGTTTCAGTTCAAACAGTTTAATGAGACCCGTGGGTTGGGGTGGTGTCCGACGCGGGAATGCCGGTTTAGCAGGGTTACTCCTTCCTTTCATACGCTGTCAGCTGTCTGTTGTGGTAAACTCGTTTTCATACAATACATAATTTGTATCTAGTCTAGGTTTTATGGCAGCCCAGTATACACCTTCTGGTGTCTAGTTAAAAAAATAACAAAAATAACGCAACTGTGAATGACTAGCTGTCAAATAAGTCTGGCCGCGATGCACGTCGTCAGCTGGGGCACCCAAAGACCGTTTTCTGAGAAATGATCTGAAATGGGTCGTTACGCATCTTGGAGTGCTTTAAAAGCAATATAAATGAATAATTCGCATCGCTACAAAAATTTGATCTGTTCGGTTGTCCTAGGAGTGGTTTGAACCTCTCGAATTTTTTAGGGCTGTTTTTCGCCTTTCCCGAAAACAACAGCCTACAGTGAAAACTTTCCGAAAACGTAAGATTACCTGACGAGCTTTTCCCTTAGCCGAATTTTTTAGGGGTCCTTTCAAATTTTCTCCGAAAACTTTATCTATTGTGGGAATGTCTATCAGATAGCATCGAGCGAGTGCAGAAACGGGCGCTGCGCACCATCTTTCCTGTGCTGCACTACCAAGAGGCCTTAGCTACTACCGGCTGTGTATCACTCCACACAAAAAGAATGGAGCTGTGTAGCAAATTATTCACAAAGATAAAAGAGCTCAAGTCCCGTCTACGCCACGTTGTTCCACCGACTCGGTCGCAGGCGCACTGCCGCTCCCGTCGCAACAAAGACAGACCATCTCTTATAAGTTGCAAAACTGAACGCTTTAAACGAAGCTTTTTGCCGGCGATGTGCCTTTATGCTCATGGCATGTAATTTAGGAACTTATGGGAATGTATAACTTGATATATATTTCTAGTTTCTAGTTTTTTTTATCTAATTTATTGTATTATATCTTCTCATAATTGTAAGACCCAGTCCATTTTGAACACGATGTAATTAGTTTAAATTATTTTTTTTTATTAATATCTATATCTTTGTAAAATAATTTCGTAATTCGCTTATTTCTAAGCGCGACGACTTTATTAATAAACCAGATTTATTTTTTTATTTATATTTATAATTTTCTAGGGCGACGTAGAATGTATAGAAAATTCTAGGTGTAATAATAAGAATAATTATAATTAAAAAAATAAGAAGAACAAAAGAAAAGGCATTTAAGTGATTTTAAAGCCACTTTCAAACGTCTTGTACCCTGCCAAACTCAATTCGCACGGCACTTACTGAAAAATCTGAAATACGGCATGGCACTGACTGATTACAACGCACATTGAACGCAGTCAGCTAAGGCAGTTGGCAGAGTTTGGATCAGTTGGGATGGCCCAGGGCACAGCTCAGTGTTCTCTTCTTCAGTGTTCTGTTCTGTTTTTTGTGTTCGTTCCCAAGGGGTAAGGTGCTCTGGGTGCTAAGGTAATAGGAGAGGACAGCTGATGGGGGGGATCTGAAGAATAGGTCCAGTCGTAAAGATCAGAAAGATCAGTAGATTACGCGTTTTATAACAGTTCTTTAAACAATTTAAACAACCGTTTAAATCAGGTACTGTTTCGGCGTCAGTGTGTCCCTACGGGTAATTGCTTAAACAGAAATTTGGTAAGAAAACACTCAGAACACTGGAATAACCAAGATTCTGGAGCCTGGAGATTCCTCCAAGTATAGATAATAATTGACAATTAGGTGAATTATCAGCTGACGATTACAGTGAACTATCAGGCTGAATTATTCCTGTTATAACACGACTGACACGAGTGCGCGTTGGGCTGGTTGGGTATGAATCTGCTGATGAGTTGGCTATAATATAATGTGTCAGTGATGGGTTAGTATTATGAAAGAGAAAAAACATCTTTCCTCAGCTTTTTTTTTTTTCTAACAGTTGCAAGACTGCAGTGAGACTTCTGAGACTGATTATGTTTTTTCCTTGTTTGTCATATTCGTTTTTCAGTGAAAGTTAAGGAACACAACAATCCGAACAAAGGTTCGAAAGGTTCGGCAGGTGTATACAATTTCGCGACTGCAAAGCCGCAGTCAGTGAACGAGTGAACACTGAGTGAAGCAAGATGGGCAATTGAAAACAATGGATATTCAAGTTCGGGTGAAAATCGAATAAACAGAATAAAGTGGATATACTATAGTCACACTGTGTGGATAAAGCTAAGCCATTGGTTGGTCTGCCATTTTTCAACTTAACTTTTCTGTGGTCGCAAAGCGAATACCAAATCCAGCGATCTACTGTTTTTCACATGTACTGTTCAGACTGTTGCCTTTTATACTCATTGCATTTACTTTGCATTATGTTTTACCTGAGTGGAAAACCTAATTTTTCTCGTCAGGGGTACCCAACGACTTTTTTCTGTAAAATAACTGTTCGAAGGAGCAAATATTGCCTAGAAATTTCTAAAGCTTGTGAAAAGCTAAAACTTTCTGGATAACCGTTCCATTCCGCCGCTAAAATATTTGGACTTTTTCCAATAGCTCAACTACGATTTTCGGAGGTTGTGTTAGTCACATTCTAATACCAAGATATTACGATTGTTGTTAAAAAAAGGTCTCCTAAAACTTTCGACGTAAAGACAAAACGTCCCCTAAAACTTTATTAATGAAAGCAAGGCTCTTTCATGTCCTCGTACTTTCGACCGAACCCATAAGGGTAGCCAACACTTTCAGATAAGACGAAAAAGCCACCTAAAACTTTCGTGACCACCAAAGTTCGCGTAAGACATCCGAACAGATAAATAGTTTTTAGGGCAACTCCAAATTAACCAAACGGGCTTCTAAAGCACAGAGAAAACCATTTGAGACACTTCTGGCGTATTTGGAAACATTGGGTCTTTGGGTGCCCCTGATGGAAGATTATTTCTGCCTGAACCGCTTACCTGTTTTCAGCAGTCTGTGTTTTCAGCAACCCAGCTACACTTGACTGAAAAACACTGCTAGTTGTTTAAGTTTAAGTTTAAGTCATTCATTGAGCATCAACTTGACGTATTTTAGAAACCAAATATAATTAAGAGATCTTTCATTTCTTGTGTTAATACAGCTTTATCTAAAGGGACAATTTGTGAGAAATAGTCGCGAAGCGT